TTTTTTTTTTTTTTTTTTTTCTATTTTGAAAATGAATTTTAGAAAATTATCAAATAAAAATAATAGAACCACCCTGTCAACTTTTGGGGTATTTTTATTATTTAATATATTTATATTTAAATTAAAGATATTACTTCATCTTTTGAAAATATGATATTTTTATTATTTTTTAAGTTACAGATATATTTAAAATAAATTTGTAAAAATTAATTATAAGAGATTTTTTTATTTTAAGAATATTAATGAAAATTTTAAAAGTTTGATTGATGTTCTCTGGACTTTATTGTGATTTGATTGATGTCGGAGCACATTTGGTTTGATTTTTCGTCGTAAAGTTTACGTAATTTTTAACCAATAGAAACTCATTATGTGATGTCCCACATTGGTTGGGAAGAGAACAAATCACTTAGGGTGTGGAAACCTTTCCCTAGCAGACGCGTTTTAAAGCCTTGAGGGGAAGCTGAAAAGAAAGCTCAAAGAAAACAATATCTGCTAGCGGTGTTGGGTCGTTACAAATGGTATTAGAGCCAGTCACTGAACGATGTGCTGGCCTTCTCGCTGTTTCCCGAAGGGGGGTAGACACGAGGCGGTGTGCCAGTAAGGACGCTGGGCCCCAAAGGGGGGTGTATTTGGGGGCGGTCCCACATCGATTGGATAAAGGAAGAAGTGCCAGCGAGGACGCTGGGGCCCGAAGGGGGGTGGATTGTGACGTCCCACATGGCCTTCTCGCTGTTTCCCGAAGGGGGGTAGACACGAGGCGGTGTTCCAGTAAAGACGCTGGCCCCGAAGGGGGGTGGATTGTGATGTCCCACATTGGTTGGGAGGAGAACAAATCACCCTTAGTGGAAACCTTCCCCTAACAGACACGTTTTAAAGCCTTGAGGGGAAGCCCAAAGAGGACAATATCTGCTAGCGGGACACGTTTTAAAGCCTTGAGGGGAAGCCCAAGGAGGACAATATCTGCTAGCGGGATCTGGGACGCATTTTAAAGCCTTGAGGGGAAGCCCAGAGAGGACAATATTCAAGGAAAGTATTTGTAAGTTTTTTTCTTTTTTTCTTTTGTGGAATTTGATCTAATTTAAGTATTATTTTTTCTCGCTAAAATCTTGAATGGATGATCGGTTACCATTTCATATTGGGTCAATGTGGAGTGTATGACCGTTCACTAAAATCATGTCTATACTGGCAAAGGCTAAAATGCCCCCAAATGTAGTATAAGCGATATGCGTAGTTGTCATTTCTTCCTATCCTGAGTTATATGTTATTTAAGTTGTGGTATTCGTTTCTTTGCTTATAGTCATATAACGTTCATTTCTTCAATTCTTCAAATCGGTTTCCAATGTATTTCATCGCTCATGTTTTCTAAACTTTTTCTCGTAAGGTGACTCAATGCCTGCACATATGCCGACGTTGTTCGCGACGTTCGAATTTCTCAATGCTGACTTGTTCGCTTGTTTAGAACAAGTATCGCACAATCGTTGTCCCACTATTACAAGAACGCGAGTATGAAAAATCTAACATGTCAATATTAAAATAATAGTTAATATTTTTTATACATTTTTATGTTTTTTTTTTCTATATATTTTATATTCTTTTATGTAAAATCAGCTATGACTCGTTTTATCATGCATCCAAGAGTTTAGAGGAGACGGCCACAATGTTACAACCGCGATAAGTTACTTGGATGCAAGCAAGCGTTAAATAAAGAGTACGGACGATATAGCAGCACATAAAATTTGCAGAGGTGTGGTGCTGTAACCAACACGTTCTTGTGCTTAAGTTAGTGTTCAAACATAGGAAGTGGTATTGAGTTGAGTTATGTTAATATTGCGTAGTGCACACTTTTATTTATTTGCTTCCTCAAACGACCAAGCTCAAGTCAATTTTGGTCAATTTCTCTCTAATATTTATTTGCTTCCTCAAACGACCAAGCTCAAGTCAATTTTGGTCAATTTCTCTCTGGTTTAGTGGGTCTTTCGCTAATTTCAATTCGATTCGAATGGTTCTTCAATCCACGTTGGTTTTTTCTCTTGTTCATGCTCGATTATGATAATTTTACTCCAAATTTGACCGTCTTAGAGTCATTTTTTGTGTTTTAATTGAGGTTTGACATGTTGGTTCAATCTTATTCGTTGGAAATAGGATACCTATCTTTGAATAAGAACTAAATTGGGCAAGCGTTCCAACTGTAGTAATGCTCGTTTTTCAAAATTGTTGAGTTAATATTAAGGCTTTGTTTTAGAATCGAGCTAAGGTTACGTGGGTCAAAGGTGAATTTTGTTGTTGCTAAGAACCCTTCGTTGTGAAGACATTTTTCTTTTGTATGCATGAAAACTTAACGCAATTGTCTATCTATGTGCACAAGAACTATAGTAAGCCCCCGTGGAGACGTAGGAGATGCAGGAACCCCCGATCAACCCAACAATGATAGGCCAGAGCTATCTATTTACATAAAAATTTCATTAGAATTATTTTGGACGGTATGGTATGACCTTGAAAATTGTATTATATCTTTGTGATATGGTCTTGTGGTAATCACCTAGCTGTGTTTGAACGTTTTATAGGTCTTTCAATCTTGCGATATTTTGCTACGAATATATGCATATCTAACCCTAGGACCCTATCAGGGTAAATTAAATATCATAGATATTTTTAATTTATTTTTGTAAATTAATTTTTTTTACTTTAATTAATTGAAAATTAGCAACTTTTTAAAATATATGTGACCTCTACCCTATTGTAGATGATTTGAAAAATTACAATTGATTAGTTATAAAGTGAATTTTACTTCAGTTATAATTTAACATAAACTATTAATAACCCATTATTAAAGTTGAGGGTAAAATAGATATATATTTAATATAAACTATTAATAACCGGCTGTGAAGGTAAAAATTTCGGGCATGACCAGCTCCCATAGTATGACGGGCGGTGTGTACAAGACCGGAAATGTCACTGTCATATGGCTAACCAGCGATTACTAGCGATTTTGGCTTCATGCAGGCGATTTGCAGCCTACAATCCGAACTGAGAACGGGTTTTTGAAGTTAGCTCACCCTCGTGGGATCAGACCCTTTGTCCCGGACATTGTAGTATGTGTGAGGAAATTATTTTACCATTCTAATGGTTTTTTTTTATAAATAATTTTTTAATTTTAAAATTTGGAGAGAAAATAGAGAAAAATATATATATAAAATATTAATCATCCACTCTATTACC